AGAGGTAGGGCTGGAGAGGGGCTGGGAAGGGGCACAGCGACCATGGCAACAAGCCCAGTCGATCCCGCCCGGCCAAAGATGAAGGGTTTTTACGACAAGGCCTCCCTCCGCCCTCCAGGGTCCTTTGAGGTTGCCTTCCCCGACGCGGCGGAGAAAATGCGTAAAGTCATTATGCAGCTTAAAGAAGGTAAAATAGACCCCATCTCCTTCCCCCAGGCACAGACACGGTTAGAAAACCCCACTCCCGAGACCGCCGGCCGCTCCCTTCAGTCCATCCAGTGGCGGATCTGTGAGCCGCTTGGGGAGAGGGGCACACGCGGGACACGGGCCCTTCTGCGTGGACCGCTTGGGTTCTGGCCCCGCCCCTTCGAAGGAAGGTTTCCTCCCCAGCTAGGACCCCTTCTTGGGGCGGTCCTGTCTCAGATTAGCCCGGGCCTCTTCCTGGATCTCGGGGTCTGGCCCTGCGCACTCCGTGAAAGCAGGCTCCTTCTAGTCTGGCCTCGCCTCTTCTCTAACTGGTCCCTGAGGAGCGCCCAGCATCTAGCCCCGCCCCGCCTCCTTGGTGCATGCCACAGGCCTGCCTCCCTTAGATGGCCAGCAGCAAGCCCGTGCCTGACCGCTTGGTGGAATGCTGCAGGCTTGGCCGGGTCCCCAGGTGGAACACAGCAGGCCTGGCTCCTCTCCCTAGGCAGGCCTGGCTCCGCCTCCGAGGAATGCATCCGGCCCAGTAACGCATCCTCTAGGGGAGCTTCGGGTGGGCACCTCCCGCGACTTCCCGGGCAGTAACGCTTCCTTTCTCTCTGCAGTCCAGGCCTGCATCCCTCCCTGCGGTAAGCACTCCCTTCGGAGCTCAGAATTGCAGGGGAAAGGGAGGCGGTCGGGGCCGAAACCTGGGGTCTCAGATCCGAAGGAGGCCAATTAGAGCCCTGGAGAAAAATAAGTCAACCAGGTATTGCTCACACACCTCATAAAGGGCGGGTCCGAAAGTCTACGCAAACCAATAGGAGTCCTAGAGACCGGAGAGGTGCGTGTCAGCCAATGAGCGCAGGGAAGGCGGGGCCCGGGCTCTGGCCGGTGAACTTAGGTAGGCTTACTAGACCTCAAATTGCCCAAGGAGCCCGGGGTTGGGAAGGCAAGTGGAGCCGAGACCCGGCGTTCCCGCCCACAGGCCTCCAGGAGGTCTCTCGGCGTTTCCGCTGCCGAGGATGCTACTCCACAGTTTGCGACCTCCCGCTGGACTGCCCAGGTGAGGGGCGGAGCCTGGAAGGGCAAAGAATCCGAGGAACTGGAGAAACGGGAGCTGTGCGGGGCGGGGCCGAGACGGTGACGCGGCCCCGGCTCCAGTTCAGGACGTGACGGTGACTCGGGGTGATCAGGCCATGTTCTCTTGCACGGTGAACTTCCAGCTGCCTAAGGAGGAGATCACCTATTCCTGGAGGTTCGCAGGAGGAGGTGTGAGTCAGGGCGTGGCCAGCACGTTGGGTTTAGGAGGCGGGTTATGCTTCACGGAGAATGGGGCGTCGGGACGCAGCGGTGGGATTTGGGAAAACGGTCTAGATTCAGCCTTCGTGCACGAGAAGGGTCCCCGCATTTGGAGGAGGGGGTCAAGGTTCGGTGCAGGACAGGGGCATAAGGGTTTCGGGAGGGAGAGCAACTATTAGGCCCGAGGGGCGGAGCCAATGCTTAGGAGGCGGGGCTATGCGTGAAGAATCGGCGAATAAGGAGCGAGGGGTGGGGCCCAAGAAGGCGCGGTCGAGCTCGGGGCGGGGCTTGTCCGTTGCCGGTGGCGTGTCCGGGAGAAGAGAGTCTGCCCCGGGCTCGGGGCGGCCCCGCTCCTCCCGCCGCTTCAGCCCGAGCGTCCCGCAGCTCCGGACTCAGGACCTGACCTACTTCCGAGAGATGCCGCGGGCCCAGGGGTACCTGGCGCGGATCCGGCCCGTGCAGCCCACTCACCGCGGAACCTTCTCCTGCGTGATCACGCACGACCAGCGCGCCCTGGCGCGGCTCTACTTCTTTCTTAACGGTGCGGGCGGGGCCGCGCGAGG